TGGCTTTTCCCACCATAGTATCTATGGCTGGCTTTTGCTGCAGATTATCTGTGAGTGATTCTAGCTGTGGGTGTGGACTGTCCCATGGGAAGAATCATGCTATTGAGTGTGTGCTCAAAGTCACCCCCAGGAGTCGGTCTGTGGAGACAGAGCTGCATTTGTTTATGTGTGTAGTTGTGTCTATGTGAGGGTCTTTCCATTCCCAGAGTCCCAATTAGCTGCTATAAATATTTATGGTGTGCTCTGAGACAACCCACGCATTTCCTTCGCATGTGACGAGGACACTAGCTATGACGTTCTCCTGCTCTTTCATGCATTAGTATCACAGGGGATAGTACAGTTCATGGGAAAAATGGGTGTGAAGGAGCCATGGATGTCTTTTATGAGTTACCCTGCCAGACTGTAGCCAAAACTATTTTCAAACAGTGGGGGTAAGGGGAGCGTAGTTGTTGGTAAGAACAGGAATAACAAAAATCCTAAATGTCTTTTGATAGATTATAAAATACATAACTAATAAATAATTTACATTTAGAATTCTAACCTCTTTTATAGTTATAATATAATGAGATAATATGTGCAAATTGGTTTATGCTTAATATATTAAGTGTTCAGGAAATATTTGCTGGTGTTTAGTGTTGTGGTAGTATTTTATTGTTAGTAATAAATTTATTAGTAGTAATCTAAATTATGGTGATATGGTACAGCATCCTGATTTATAATCTAAATTGCATCAGGTATTTCCTGATTTCTGGATAATGTACTTTAATTGCAACTTCATGCAGTTTGAAGGATTTGGTAAGGAATGCTAATGTTTGATTTTTAAATATTCATTAATCATTGCAAATTTTTTTTTTTTTTTTGTTCCTTTTTGTCTTTTTTACTGACCAGTAATGGGATCGCAACCCTCGGTGTCGCGCCCGTACCAGGGACCGGCAACGGAATTGCAACCCTCGGTGTTGCGCCCGCACTGTGCTCAGCCAGTGAACGGGAACCGGTCTCCACATGGGATCCGAACCCTCGGCGGGAGCGCCGCTGCACTCCCAAGCGGCGCACTCTCCAGTGCACCACTGGTCCGGCCCGCAAATTTTTGAATTCACAATTTCTGTAATGAGCTCTCTGTGGCATTCCATGATTCCAAGAGTTACTTTCTAAATGTGTTGTGATTGCCATGGAATCTTACATTCAGAAAGCAAATAACAATGGTGACTGACTGGTGGCCACTGCTCTTGGGGCTTCTGTTAGTCCTGTTTTTCCAAAAGCTTTGGTCTGCCTGAGATTCTCCCTGTTACCCTTACTTCCCTTTGGGTTATAGCAGTCTTTTTCTTTCTTTCTTTTTTTTTTCTTTCTTAAGCATCCCTAGTACCAGAGGAAAGTACGAATTCCCATGGGATTCCTAGCATAGAAATGCTGGCAGCAGCTTGACATTTCTTTCAAGTTGAGCGTTCAGTGGTTAAATTGTACATTAATTTTGCACCCTACACCATAACAATCCCAGATTTATTTTAGTACACAAGAGGTGTTTTAATTTATATACCAACAAGTAAAATGAATTCTCCTGGGCTTCTCTCCTTACTTCTCCTTCTCTCCAAGATCTCTGTTTGAGGAAATAGTATTAAAGCATATTCTTAAGAATGACCTGTTTGAATACTCCTTGAATATATACTACACACTAATATGTTTAAATGGCTTAGCTGATCTGAGTATCTAATACATCTTGGAGGAAATGATATATAGGATAGAGATGGTTGGAGGGAGGATATCTGGTGTAAGCTGGCTAATGAGGACTACTTTGTGGGTGCTTGTGACAGAGTAGAGAGAGAGACAGAGAGAGGTTACTAGATGGTTAGGGTAAATTGCTGCACAGAAAATGGGAAAAAGCACTAAAAGGGAATGACAGGATGGGGGTTGTTATCAACTTCACCTCCTCTACAATTTTGCCTAGAAGGAGTCTTTTCTGTTTTTGTACCATCATTGGGAGGACCCAAAGAAGAGAGACAGTATGTGATTCCTTGAACCACAGAACAGAAAGATAACACCTATTTCTTCTTCTTAAACAAATAGAAAACAACACTTGAATGTTTCAGCGTACATTCTTCATAACGTAGATTTTCATTTTTGTTTCCTTTATTAGTTAATAGTTTAACTTTTATCTATTTTTTTCTGCCTCTGTGGTACAGCCAGCATGTGTTGTTTCCTGGGTTATCAGGAGATGATGTAGTCATGTTCTTGTGCACTGGCACAAACTGTTTTCTGCAATTGGCCATTGTTTTCTAGAGAGACTGACTTCTATTTACCAGAACTGGCACAGTCTGGCATTTAGGCTTGGATGACACCTCTCAGAACTAATGAGATGATGTTCTGGCTGATTAGAATGCATTTTATAACCTGCTAAAGGAAAAGGGGATGTGAGAGCATTATGCATTAGTAGTATCAAACTTGATATTTTTGTGTATTTCACAGTTTTCTTGCAATTAGGGAAGATGCCAGTTTTGCTTTGTTTATGCCTTTAAAATGCATGATGAAAATCTCAAAACTAAACAAAAAAGGAACACTTAAAAGTAATACTCTGAAAATAAAAGTGGGTATAATCTCATTATCATTAGTTTGTTTTTAAAGGAATCTTTCCATTTGTAAAAACAGTAGCAATTCATATATCTCTGTAAAACAGACTCTTGTGGATGCATTTTAAATAATTTAGTCAAATTTATATTAAAATACACATAGTACCAAGGTATTTATTATAGTAGTAGGCAATGTTTACCTTATAGCATTGTGATTCATATGCTTGAGATTGTCTAAATCATAAACAGCTTTTCCACATGTTTTCTTTAACCTTAGAACTGTGAAGAAGGCTGAAGGATATTTTAATCATTTTTACAAAGGAGAAGATGGCCCAGGGAGAAATTAGTGGAAGATTTTTGTCCCTGCCAGTGTATTTTTGTGGTAACCTATGTTCCTGATTCTAGATCTCTTCTATAATTTCTGTCAGGCTGTGTCACATGGGCAATGCTTTTCTTTTCTTTTCTTTTTTTGTTTCCATGGGTAACAATGAATAGGAGGCTTTAATATGCTTTGTAGAGGGTATGTGATTTGCCTTTAACAGATGTAGTATCATGTAGTGGTTAAGACCACAGACTCTGGAGCCAACTGCTGGACTCTAAAGCTCAGTTTCCTCGCTTAGCAGCTGCATGACTTTGGGAAAGGTGATCTCTCTAGGCCTTAGTTTTTTCATTGATAAATTGAGAATAATAAAAGTATCTTGATCTGATAGGGATGTTGTGACAATTGAAGGAATGAACATGTATAAAGCACAAAGAAGAGTGCCTACACAGACTAAGCACTTCATACATTGCATGATTATTATTAACTTAAGAATTGCATTTTTCAAAGTGGGCGTAACTTCACTTTTCAATATCCAGAGGGGACTCGTTTATCATGTTTATACTCTTAAGAACAGACTCCCCCAATTCTGTTGATACAATGAATATTTTTCCCTTAGAAAATACATCTCTCACAGAGTCTTTAGTCTCTAATCTCTAGTCTTTGGCATTAGACTAGATTATAAACATGGTGTGTGGAATAGAACATTGAACCCAGAGGCCGAAGACCTGAACTTTAGTCCCAGCTCAGTCATTAATCAGCTTGGGCCAGTCATTTGAACTCATCAGGCTCAGCTTCATTTCCCCTCAGGAGAAGGCTAAACTATACAACCTCCAAGTCGATTACCAAGATCCCACTCCATCATTGAGGTAATTGAGGGGAAATTCACTTTAACACAAACATTAGGCAAAGCCCAACTATTCATCCCATATAGTTAAAGACTGTTATTAGAAAGATTTAGCTATTATACGTAGGATAGAATTGGTAAGTACCTTACAGATTTTGAAGGATGAAATAGTCCAAGGCATTTTTTAATACAGGTTTTCTTATATACCCTAAGGAAAAAACATTCACCACATTAAAGAGACAATGGTGCATTATGGAATTCCTTGCATGAAATAGGTAAATTATCTTGTCTCTGAGCCTTTACTTTGTAGAAGAATGCTCCAGCAGTCAGCGTAACACCCACATCCTTCCATCTTGTCCTTCATTTTCAGGCTCAAACTCTCAGGCACTGCCAGGAGAACAGAGAGGAGCGAGAAAGCAGTTACTTCCTCTTTTGTCTGTACACTATAGAAACATGTTCCTGCTTCCCCACAATTAGTCCTCCAGCCCCTGGGCCAGTATCAGTGTATACACACTTGATCATTGTAACAATGAACTAAAATAAATCAAAATAGCAGGAAAAGGTCTTTCTCAGGCACTGATGTAAATGACAGCTAACATGTTCCTGGGATTCTGTTTACTTTTTATTTTGATTGATATATTGAGTCCCTGGAGACTTTTCCTCCATTAGCCAAATGGAAACATTGTACTCAGGATAATGGAAAAGACAAAAGAAATTTGGGTAGCTAATAATTTAACAACAGACAGATTACAAAGATAACCCAATGTATTAAAAACCAGCTCACCAAGCATAGGGGTGTGTGATTTACTTTACAGAAGATGCTTTACTTGGCAAACTTTTATACACAGAGGGGCTGATTTTATTTTCAGTTCTTTAAGGAAGAGCTTCTTTCCTTGTTTTCTCCCAAGCCTAGGAATGCTGGTCTGGGTGGGGTAGGAATTACAGCAGCATGCAAAGTCTAAGACTATGATGATGGAAGGGTTGACTGTCTTCAGTACATAGAGAGAAGGGTTTCCTACTACAGGAATCTCAAGGGACTGCCAACAACCATGTAGCCAGTTGCTTATGCTCAGTTTGAGGTCCTTGGCTTTAAAGATTAAAGTCCCTCAATAGTGCTAGAAAAGAACCTTGGGTTAAATCCTGGAAAAGTGAGTTCGTGGCTATGGGTCTGTTCCGTCATTTAGTAATAGCATTAAAGATATAAAGCCATGTCACTTAGCATGTGCCTGGCCTATAACTTTCTTTTTTGTTGTCTATTTCTACCTGTTTATAGGGCCAAGGAGATCTGTTGAAGAATGCCAAGAATGAAGCTATAGAAAACATGAAGCAGATCCAGCTGGCATGCTTGTCTTGTGGACTGAGCAAAGCCCCCAGCAGCGCTGCTGAGGCCAAGAGCAAGCGCAGCCTGGAAGCCATAGAGGAGAAGGAAAGCGGCGAGGAGAATGGGAAGCTGTGACGCTGCCTATACTTTCAGGGAGCTTTCTTGTCAAGGATTCTGGTTTCTCATTCTTGTTTTCTTTCTTTAAGTTCACGAAAAGATGCCCACTATTGGGTGTTGAACATAAACAGATATTTTCACAATGTCAGTATTTTAATGTAATTTATCTAAGTTAAAACCTCTAGTAGCAGTGTTTTAAATTCTGAGATGTGTGTACACACCCATGTGTGGATGCCTGTGAAAGTGTGTGTGTGTGTCTGAGAGAGAGAGAGAGAGAGAGAAATACTGTGCAAATCTATTTTGTGTTGCATTATTCATTTAGTAAGTTATTCCTTTATCATTTTTGGACAAATGTGTTCATCTGAAGTTCTAAAGAGCACTTACTGTAACCTGTTGCTGTGTTTAATTTTACTTCTTTGCCTTTGTCATTTAATTTACAGGTTTTAGCATACTTTATTATTGAAGGAAGCCAAATTTATCAAAGCATAGACATTTTGATAGATTAAATATAGATTAGAAAAGTTTCTAAGAATCACAGTAGAAATTAAAGTGAATGAAAAATTAAACAAATTATTAGAATTTCGAGAAACATCAGCAAAGTCATTTTTAGGTAAACAATCTCTTTGAAATATTTATTAAATTCAATTAATTCTTAGAAAGTTTTTTGTAGTTGTTTACTAATCATATGATTTCAGTAGAAAAGCTAATCATAAGTGAATTTATACCCACCTATGTGATACACTGAAACACACCGAAAGTTCTGTTGTAATTAGGATTTTGATGTGACAATAATATTCAGTTATGGAATTTCAAGATTTGTAGAAAGGTCTCATTCTTTCAAACTGGGAGTCTAGCATTCATTTTCTATAACAGACATGGGCAGCTAAGAGGTCTTGGCTTTGGATTTTAAATTTAGAGTATTAAATTTAGACTTAAAGACAGTATTCAATACCATACCATCACATCGAGCTAATATAAATTCTGTGGGTCAGATAACATCTTCATGATGGTTTAAGAACTAACTGATTACAAATCATCTATGATATAATTTTAACACATATCGAGATATACACACACAAAAAGAAGCAAATCACTAATTAAGGAAAACTTATAATTGCATTTAGATCATTTTTACCCTGATGTCTTCATAAAGTACTTGAGTATAATGTTTGTTACCTCCAACAGAACTAAACGTTCTACAGTTATGAAAGAATATATTTATTTAAAACATTGCTTTTATTTTGAAAAGCTTCTTAATTAATTTGATTAACAAATTTGCCAATTTGGGGGAACCTAGAGAAGATAATTGTTAAAATTTTGCAAATATAACGATCTTCTATAGCTACTGTGTTAAGTTATTTCTGACTTCTTAACACTATTATGTTCATGTTGCACATTACCGAAAGAGTAAAGCTATGAAAAAACACTATTATTGTTCTCTTTTATTGTGAAGTAATTGAAAAGAAAAGGTAATGGAAATGGTTTATTATATCAAAAATATCTTAAAGGTTATGCTATTTCTGTGGATCATTTATGATGAAATTACTCCGTGGGTTTAAAACTGGGCTCTTGGGGAAGAGGTACCTGAATTCATCTTAAGGCAAGTTTCCAATGGTACTACAATGACCTGAAAAAATTTCTTGACCCTCCATTATACTTAATCTGCTGGTAAAAGAAATAGCTCTCTTATGATGAAAAAAAGGTGGTATAGACAGAAACAGAACCCACATTATATTAGCCAATTTGTTGATTTTGCTTGGGACCTCTTCACCTCCTTAAATTCCACTTGGATAAATCCACACCTCTACTGGTGAGGTGGAGCGGTAGTGGTAGGAGAAGATAAAGAGTGGCAAACTCTCAAGCAGGATTTATACATTTCATTACTTTAGGGTCAAATCCAACCTTTGGAAGTAGCTTCCCTAGTTTATTCCATTTGTCCCAGAGCTTCACTCACACTTAGGTCCTATCCAGATATTCCTGAGAATGTGATATGGATTCCCCTCATCTGATGCTGCTTCTGACAGTGGGTTCACATCCATTCTCTGCTCTATTCCATTGGGTATCTTTGCCAAATAGGGAGTGAGATGTGGAGCAGGGGGAGCTTTAGATTCTGCGAGAAGAGGAGTTGCAAGGAAAAAGGCACCTAGGGTGGTCTTGCCTCTGGACAGAACAGCCAGAACACACCCTCCTGTTTATTATGGCTCCACTACGTCATTACATTCGACGAGTGTCTGTCTCCTTTCTAGACTTGAACTGCGGTAGAAAAAGCCCTCTTTTGGTGACGCTAGGAAGGTAGTGTTTTAGATATTTATTCTTTTTTTATTTATTCATTTTTACATCACTGAGGGGATTTGAGGCAGAGATGGCAGATATTATCACTGACATTTTACAGGTGAGAAAGCCTAAGGCCACTGAGGTAGTAAATGGAAGATAAACAAGAATATTCATTTAGTGATTTTGATTTTAAATTTATTCTCAAAATTTTAAACCAGACTATTGACTTTTTCCTTTATCACCACAAATAAAAAGACCTATATCATTTTATTCCTGAAAATAAAATATTAATGATCAATATAAAAATAGAGAAATATATAAAAAAGAAAATAAAAATCACTCACTACTAACATATTGACTTATATCCCTTCAGACACTCTGTAGAGTTCATACATATATATCAGTATGCTTCCATTTTTGACAAAAATGAGATCATATTATATAAACCTTTGAAACAAGAATTTTAAAACTTTAACAATAGAACATGGACATCTTTTTATGTAAATAGATATGTGTACACATTGGAGTATCCAACCTTGAACTGAATCTAGTTCAGAAGTGATGTGTTTTACTTGGTCACTGAATCCTTTTCAAAAATGTTCAAGCAATAGACAACTTCTGAAAATCAGGAATTTTTACATAAAATTCAATTTTCTGCTTCTTGTAAAATATTGGATATTCTGACAACACAAGACACTGCCCCTCCCCATCTCACCACCACCACAAACATGCTTCTTATCTGGTATCAGTTAACTGGAGCTGTCTTCTCCAAAAGGGACATGTGCTGTCCAGTTTACCAAAGAACTTCTTCACTCATTTATGTTACATCCGGCCCCTGTGGACATCTAGGTGGTGATCCACGATTCAAATAATCATTTGTAATAATTACATAGTGTCATTATGTGACATCATAATATATTTAACCAGTCCTTAATTGTTAGAATTTTTTTTCTCTTAATTTCTTGTTATGTAATGGCAGTGATAAAATCCATTTTTAGAAAGTTGTTCAACTTTCTCTTTAGTATAAATTTCTAGAAGTAGAACTGTTGGATCAAAGGATAATAGGTGTTTAAGAGATTTTGAGATACATTGCCAAATATTCTCTGTAAAATGTGTCCAATATAAATTCCCACAAGGAGCTCATGAGAATGCTCAAATCTTTGCTAATAATAAATTTATTTTTTCTTATTTTCATCTTTGCCAATCTACTAGGTTAAAAAGTCTTATTTATTTTTATATTTAACGTCTAGTAGAATTGGCCACATATTAATGTTTTCATTAACTGTAAATAATCTCATCAAAATTAAAAACTTTTGTACTCTAAAGACACCATCAAGAAAGTGAAAAGACAACCTACAGAATAGGCTTGCAATTCATATATATGATGAGAGACTGGCATTCACAACATATAAAAAACTATTACAACTCAATTAAAACTGAACCCAATTTTTTAAAATGGACAAAGTATCCGAATAGACTTTTCTTCAGAGAACATATGTAAATGGAAGTAAGCACATGAAAAGATGCTCAACATCAATGACCACTTGGAAAATGCAAACCAAAGCCACAGTGAGATATGACTTTATATCAACTAGGTTGCCTGTAATAAAAGAGACGGTTAATAACAAATGTTAGTGAGAATGTGGAGAAATTCGAATCATTCTTCCCTGCTGGTGGGAATGTAAAATGGCATAGCTGCTTTGAAAAACAGCTTGGTACTTCCTCAAAAGGTTAAACAGAGTTATCACATGACCCAGCAATTTCACTCCTATGGTTATACCCAAGAGAAATAAAAGCATATGTTCACAAAACTTGTACACTAATGTTTACAACAGCATTATTAATAATACCAAAAAAGTAGAAACAAGTCAAATGTCCATCAACTGATGAAAGGATAAACAAAAATTTTATATCCATACAGTGGATTATTTAACAATAGAAATGAATCACTGATACATGCTACAATATGAATGGACCTTGAAAACATTATGCTAAATGAAGGAAGTGAGGCACAAAGGCTACATATTGTACGATTTCATTTATATGAAATGTCCAGAATAGACAAAATAGGCAAATTCCTAGAGACAGAAAGTAGACTAATTGTTGCCAGGGGCTGGGAGAAAGGCGAATAGAGAGTGACTGCTAATGAGTGTGAATTTTCTTTTTGAAGAGATGAAAATGTTCTGAAATTAGATAATGGTGATGGTTTTACAACTTCATGAATGTACTAAAAGCAATTAAATTATACACTTTACAAGGGTGAATTTTATCATATGTAAATTATATCTTGGTAAAAGAGTTATAAAAAAGAAACATGTAAAGATAAAAGAGAATTTACATAATGAATAGAGCATCTCTGAACAGTGAAATAACTTCAAGAAGTCTAATATGCCATTGGAGAGAAGAGGGGGAAAGAAAAATATTTGAAGAAATAGTGGCTGAAAAAATTCTCATTCATTGTGAAAACTATGAGCCCATGGATTTAAAAAAAACTCAAAAAATCCCAAGGACAAGAAACATGAGGAAAATAATCAAGGCATGTCATTGTTAAATTGTTCAAAAGTAGTGGTAATGAGACAACCTGAGAAGGAAGCAGCCGGTGAAGAAAGACGTTATGTACAGAGAAAATAAGAAAGACAGCAGATTTCTTATTGTAAACCAGGCAAGGGAGATGGCAGTGCAGTAAGTTCTTTAAAGCACTGAAGAGATGGCAGTGCAGTAAGTTCTTTAAAGTACTGAAAGAGAAGCAACAACTATAATCCTAGACTTCTAGACCCAGTGAAAGTACAATTCAAAAATTAGGGTCATACAAAAAATTTCAAAAGCTGAATTCATCACCAGTCAGTAGACCTGCACTACAAGAGACGTTAAAGGATAGAAATCCTTCAGGCTAAAGGAAAATGATGCCAGATGAAAATATGGGTCTATACAAAGGGATGAAGAGCACTAGAAATAGTAACCTCAGGGGGAAATATGTAAAAAAATGTTATCACTTAAATCTCTTAAGACAGTTGACTGTTTAAACAAGAACGACACGGTAATGTGGAATTTGTAACATATATGAAAAGAAAATGTATGGTAAGAATAGCACCAAGTTGGAAGGAGAAAAAGGCCTTCACCATATGAGAAGTATCACTTGATGGTAGATTGTAGTAAGTTAGAGTGAACTCTAAACTCTGAATCAATTACTGAAAAAACAAAGCAAAGAGTAATAACTAATAAGCCAATATTTGATTAATCAAAAAGGCAAAAACAGAAAAAAAGGGAAAAAGAACGTGGTAAAATAAAAAATAGCAAGTTGACTTTCTTAAAAATATAACCCTGTCAATATTCACATTAAATATAAACTATAAATACTGCAATTAAAAGGCAAAAGTTGTCAGATTAGGTAAAACAAAAAAGACCAAACAATATGCTGCTTACAAGAAGCACGCTTCAAATATAAGGACATAAATAGGTTAAAAGTAAAAGAGTGGGAAAAGATATACCATGTTAACACAAATCAAAAGAAAGTTGCAGTGGCTGTATTAATACCAGATGAAATAGATTTCACGGCAATAAATATTACCAGGGATAAAGAAGGGTTTTTCATAATGATTAAGAGGTCAATTCATCAAGAAGATGTAATAATCTTAAACATATATTCAAGTAATATTAGAGCATCAAAATACATGAAGCAAAAATTGATAGAATTATCAGGAGCAATACACGACTACATGAGCATAAAGTTTTTAATACCCTTTTCTGTATAACTGATAGAAAAACTAGACAGAAAATCATTAAGAATATAGAAGATTTAATTAATATGATTTAACCACCTTGACATAATTGACATTTGTAGAATACTCCACTCAACAAGAGCAAAATACACATTTTTTTTTCAAGTGCACATAGAACAATTACCAGGATAGACCATATTCTGGATCATAAAACAAGTCTCAAATTTAAAATGATTAAAGTTATACAAAGCATGTTCTCTGACCACAAAGGAATTAAATTAGAGATAAATTACAGAAAGGCCTTTAAAAAATCTGTAATATTTGAAAACTAAATAACTCACCTCTAACTAGTGAATTAAAGAAGAAATCAAAAAGGAAATAAGAAATTATTTTGAACATAAGTGTCAAAAACCTCAAAATTTATGAAATAATGCTA